CCTCCCACACAGCAGCTCCCTCCCTTCCCTTCTGGAGCAGCAAAAGGCAACAGTTTCAGCACAGACAGTGCTTGGCTTCCTTCGGTTTGCTGGGTGCAGCTTAAGAACTGACTTGCTCTTTTAAAAGAACTGTTATTTGAAGACTGGAAGCCTCAACCAGAGCAGTGTTACTGCGAGAAGTCTCTAGCGTGAGAGCAATGACCTCCAGTTCCCTGCACCTCAGCGAACTTTGCATGATGAGTGAAGTTAACTCTGCTGCCTGATTTGGGGACAACACAGGCTACAGCTCACGCACAGATGCCAGTTAAAATCAGTATTTAACTCTAGGAAAGCCAGCTTTTACTTTGCTGTCTTCTAGTTCTAGTTGTGTTCCCTCCAATGCAAATAATTTTCAAGGTTTTTTTCCGGCCAACTTTTATTTAGGAGTCTTGGTACCTTACAGACTGACGCTCTGCGCTTCCCAGCCTCTCAGTAAAAGACACGTTGTCTGACCCAGGGGTAATGGCGAGCGCAGGGACTGCCATGGGATGTTGTGAGCCAACGTTCGGATTTGAACCCAGCATCCTACTCCTGCATTTTTATAGTAATACAGACCTACACCTACCTATGCCATGATTTTACTCCCAGGAACCATTTGTAACAGTAGGGAAGTTTAAAAAAAGAAAAAAAAAAAGGGGGGGGGGATATAAAAGCAGCATTTAATTTTAGTAATTGTTCTTATCTCATTTTGTATTGTATTACTAAATGCATTTCCAAGGCTTTCTCTTGAAGGAGGAAAGAAGGCATATTCATTTTAAGCTATTATTTCATACTGTTCATTAGCTACTGATCAAAGTACTCTTAGAGGGATGTATGACATCATTATTTCAAACTCCTACAAGGAAGGTGGGCCTGAAAAAGCATCTTGTTAGAAGATTGTGAGATTTGAGCTGTGATGGAAGAGAATACAGTTGGCTCGAATCTTTCAAGGAGAACAACTTTCTCCATGTCTCATGAGTTCAGGTATTAGGTTTGTTTTCTGGACCGTTTCCCCAAATGCTGCGAACGTGGTGAGGTATGGAAAAAAATAAGAACTGAGATAATGGGCTCTAATTTCTTCCTTTAAAGAAAAGGACCAAGATAAGCAGATAGGTTCCAGGACTTTAATGGGATGTCTTAGAAGGCAAACACCAGTGTTGTGTATCAAATGCAGTTTCTGAATGGGTTTTGTGTGTTGCCAAAGTCCAGTCTGGAAGAGTATACTGAATAAATCACCTCTGATAGCTGGGTTAGAAAAATGTCCCCAGTGATCTGGTTAGTAAAAGGTGGAAGATGGCCCCGCTGCTGCTGCCTGGCTCTGCAAAATAAAGAGCAGCTCTACGACTAATCGTCATGCTGGCTGAGAACAGGATCTGAGTGCAAATGACATTAGAATTTCAGGCAGTTTCTTGTCATTTTTTCCTATCCTCAACCTATGTTGGGTTGGTCCAGTTGGGATTGCTCTTCAGTCACCTGCTTGTTCTGTGCAGGCCCTCCTTCCCAGGGAGACTTACGCAGCACCAGCAAAACTTTGTTGTCCGTGCTTGCATGGAAACAGATGCGGAATCAAGGATCAGAGAACAGTTGGAAAGCATAACAACTTAATGTTCCCCAAAGGTCTCACATTTATGAAATGACAAATTTGAGCCCTTGGAGAGTTTGCAGCTTGGACAGACGGTAGGGAAGCGAAGCAGCTGCACATCACAGCCCTCAGAGACCCAGCATACGGTGAACGGAGCTGTCCTCGTTACACCTGTCCGTTGCTGCCAGGGGCGAAGGGGCACGGGATGCTACTTTGATGGGCAGAGTTAACTGCTGAGGAGTACTCTGCGGAGATGGAGAAGCCTGTGTGACACTGGGTAAATGTTGTGAGGAGATCATGGGTCCCTGGGCTGTACTGTCCCAGAGCACAGATATGGATTTAATCGAGTTGAACTTGATTTACTCTACCTTCTCTGCAAATTTGTCCAACAAAAAGAAGCCTGAATCCAGATATAGTTCCCGAGAGCATTAGTATCCCTGTTTTCCCTCTCACCTTTCCCACTTACAATGCTCCAGGCATTTCTTTTTGTTTGTAAATTGTTTGGGGCCGAGGGTTCACCTGTGTACATGACCACATATACAGAAGTTATCACATACACCCAGGCAGCTGGATGCTTCCAGTGCGTTGGGAGGCATTACCGAACTAGATAATCCCTAAAGGCTTTCACCACCCAGCAACGCAAGGCACAGTCCCATTCTTGACAGACTTGCTTCTCAGAGGACTGGTCCTAAATCAAAGACAATGAGAGTTCCTCATTCCATTATCTTTTTGCCAGAGCAACTCTCCTAAAAGTTCACAGTCCCCCCTGCAAGCCAGTATGTAAAGCTGCAGCAGGAACCACCAGTATTTGGATGAAGGGCTTGCAGATCATTTCTGCAAGTTCAAGCTGCAAGAACCCTGCAGTGAAAGCAAAGTCAGTTCAGTGTCCAAAGGAGAAATGGAAAAAGTTATTTGTCACGATTACATTCAGACTTATTTGCTTGCCACTTGTTGCTCAACACCCCTATGCATAGTTTAGCTACTGCCACCAGCAAATGCTGAAAAGTTGTAGAGGCAAAGTTCAAGAAACTGTTTGAAAGCTTGTCATTTGACGGCAGAGAGCTGCAGTGCTTCAGCCGCTGGATGATCTGCCTCATAGTGAAGTGTTCTTCACCTGGGTTTCCATGCTATCTAAGGAGTGAGGTTTCTTGAGAACGTGCAGATTTTGTCAGTCAGTCACTCAGTCAGCGACTGGGATTACAAATTCTGAGCCACAATACGCGTTTTATTCCAGGTATGCCCAGTTTGTGCCCGTATCAGTGGCACTGGAGACTGCACGGGAGACTGGGGTTGCCTTGTATGCGAAACCACCGCTTGTGATGACCCGAGCTCACGTTTTAACTAGGGCCTGTGCAAAGAGCGTGCCGGTGCAAGGCGGGTGGAAAGCTGGCGCACGCCCGTACTGACCCTGCCCTATAGCAAGCAGTGCTTTGCTCTGCTGGGATTCCAGCTGTCTGTCTGTCCTGGAAACATGAGCTGAGGGAGGCAGAAGTAGGCTCTCCAGGGCAGCAATCTCCCGAGTCTTTAAAGACTCTGAATGTCTCTTTTGTACTTGTGCCTTGCAGCCAGAGCCAGTTTGTCAGAAAGCTCCGTGACTGTCACGGGAGGTCGGTGTTCTTGCTCTTCACCCAGTTCCATGTTTGCACGTACCTGAAGGGGGTACTTTGAAAGGTCCAGGTCCAGGATGGCACAGGACTTAATGTTGTGCATGCTGTGGTATAACAGGCTACCGAAGGAGACAGGGGACACAGCGGTGTCCAAGAAATGTTTGAAAAGTACAGAAATACAAAGAGAAGAGGGAGGCGACAGGTGAGCCGCCCAACTCGTGACGCTTGGTTTCACAGGGCTTTGAGCTGTGCTGCTCCTCCTCCTGCAGCCCCCACATACACGTTTCCCCTCAACTCCCCTCCTGCCCCAACTCCTGTAGCTTGCCATGAGCTGCAGAAGGGACGACAAGCGGTGTGAGCGAGCCCTCGCAGCCCCCGGCAGACCAAACCAATACCGTCAGGAGCTGCACTCAACCCCTGGGCCACGTCCTGTGCAGACCTGTTGTAGGAACTCGTGGCGTTTAAGCCCTTCAGCCCTTTGTTGTTGGATGTGACTAAAACTGGCCAAAGTCAGAAGGTAGTGGGAGGCTGAGGACTGGCAGCTGACCCCAATCTCAGAAGCCCTTCCCCGGGCTAACCACAACACGAGTAAGCTTGAGTCATAGCGTAAACTGGTAAGCCTAAAACGATCCAGCAGGATGAACGCTAACTGGCCCAACACATCACGGGCTCTCTGCTTACTCTGGAATTGGTAGATTTTGGCTTTGGGTGCAGACAGGCACCACTTGACTCCAGGCCAGTAGTAGCCTGACAGCTCCGACTGCCTTTTTTTTTTTTTAATTTTTATTTTTTTATAGCAAAATGGCAGATGGCAGACCTATTGCTAAGAGAAAACTAATTTTCCTTTTGGGATTTTACTATTCAGTTTGGGAGACTTCAACACATGACACTAAGCAAATCCTCACAACAGAAGAAGTCATAGACACAAAAGCTCTGATTTTCAAATTTTTATTCCCTTTTTTTTTACTGCAGGTAAAGTCGATGCACACCAAATACTTAGCGTTTCAGAGCTCCTTGCATCCAGAAGAAATTGCGCTTTCACACTGGCTCTGAACCGCCTCTGCAGAGCCAAAGCAAAATGAATGCAGAAACTAATCCCTTTGCCCCTACCATGCACATCTTCTTCAGTGCTGGAGCCAAGAAAGACTGAAGAGAATTAACCTTTTCTGTAAATGCTTCCGAGATAGGAAATACCCTGCTTTCCACTTTCTCGTCTTCCTCTTTCCCAGTTGCTGCATCAGGGAAACCAGTCTTCCCTGGAGCAGGAAATTGCCTTCTTCCTCTTTGCACTACTAATGCCACAAGTTTATTTTAAGAAGAAATTTCATACCTAGGCAGGATTGCTGTAGCTAGCCTTGGCTCTCTCTAGCTATTAGCTAGACCAAGTAGGTGGCAGAGCTTGTTAGAGTAACTGCTGCCCGCTCAGAGGCGGCCAAGAATAGCTGCAGCCTCTCCTGGGGATCCAGTATACAAGTGTGGGGTTCCAGGGGTCCCTTCCTGCGACGTGTATGACATTACCACCGTAGCCATGGGAATGTGCTGCTGTGTAAACCTCGACACAGACAGCGGGAGGCGAGGGCAGCCTGTAGGGCTGAATTGACAAAAAAAAGGGCATCAGGGTTTCTGGTCTCCCTGACTTCCCTCTTTTCAGCTGCCACAAATCCCAGTGCAGCCTTGTGCCCTGCTAACTGGTCAGGCAGGCCCCCCCGCAGTCCTTCTGCCAGCCTGGGGGCAGGAACGCTGCCTCTGTGACTCTGCTTCCCAGGGACTCACTAGCCCATGTTCTCGCCCAGGCTCCTGGACGGTTCAGCTGGAGAAGGGGGGCACTGTGGTGGTGCTGCGGAGCCTGCTGTGGCTGGGCCTGACCTTCTACCACGTCCCCCTGACCAAGCAATACGGCCACATCTACTTTGGCACTGGTGAGAAGAACCTGGATCTGCCCTTCATGCTGTGACTCTCCTGTCTGGGATGAGGACTCAAGAACATTTAGATTTTGTACTTAGGAGATTTTTGTTTACTGCTTGTTCTAATAAATGGGTGAAACCTCTTCTGTGCCTGGATTCTGGCCCTGATTCTTTTCCGTGTGCAATCCTCCCTCAACTCCAGTTGAATTCCCTGTAATGTGTCGCTGCAGATCCCTCAGACACTAACAGAAGGCATTTCCTTCCATGACGGGCGAAGCTCTAGGTCAGAAATCAAACCTAGGCCGTCTGTCTGGTTACAAAGACACCGTGCTTACACAAAAACTAATTTGAAGACAACAGGAATGAATGCCTGCTGTCACCCATGAGTGACAAACAAACGTAGAGTTGGAGTCAGAGCAGAAAGCTGATGCATTCTGTAAGCGATCTGTACTAACCCCTGAACTCTAGAAAGGCATATCGAAATGGGGAGAGTATTTTGTTTTTCAGATGTTAGGTTTCACCAAAATTAGAGGGTTCTTTCCAGCTCATGGCACTAAACTACAGAAAAATATGAACTGCAGGCATCACCTGGCCGTTTGCAAAATATGCTCATTCAGGTTCAGCTCAAGGCAACGGTTTAATCCAGTGACTTTTCCATTAGTCAAGCTCACTGAGCAGAGCTACCTGGGCTAGAAGACATAGTAACTTCTGTATGTAGGAGAAGAAAGAAAAATCTTTTCCTTTCTGAAAGGCTGCAGGTTTCAAAGCTTCATAAGCCAGAAACGGCCAGCCAGAGATTTTATCTCAGTATAGTGACTGAAGTCTTGGCTCTGCCTCCCAAAGCAAAAAGATCTGGGCCAGCTCAAGGGGCTGAATGTAAGGCTTCCATGTCACACAGTAAGGCTAAAAGGAACCATCACAATCTACTGTGATTTCCTGGGTAATACGGGTTTATCCTTACCCTTTGTTCCTGCCCATGCCCACCGGTATCATTAGCAGATGATTCTGATGAAAGCAGTACGAGGTTAAGTGGCTCAGTCGCACAGAAAAAAGCTGTGTCGATCTGTAGCCGCCAGACAAACATCAAAGCAATGGAGCCGAAGCAATACTGACCCTGCTCAATGTAACGAGCCTTCCGCACCAGCAGCACTTGTCAAGGAGCAGCGGTCAGCACATGGGAGGTGCCTACAGGTACCGTACGGGGCAAGAAAGGGTGCCACCTTTCAGTTACAGCATGGAAAATCATGCACATCCGTCAGCCCCCAACCATCCCAGGAAGCAGCCCTCTCCCTGACATGGCAGACTTACAGCAAAAGTATTTGCAAGGGGGGAAAAAAAAACTCAAGGCCCAGTCATCAAGGATGTCATCATTCTGTATTTGCTAGATCCAAGAGTGGAGCACGAGCCAGGAATCCTTAAGGGGGCACGTCAGACACACACATGCCCATCTGCCACTGCCACAGGTGTTCTGCTGCAAGTTATGGGTAGTACAGATTGTAAACCACACTATTTCAGTAGCCATTAACAATTTCTGTTACTGCTGAGGAAACACAGTGCTGCGGGAGACTTTTTCTTCCACCAGTGTCACAGGTACAAAAGCCCAAATGAGGCAAATCTGCGTTGAAACACATGTTAATGGGGAATCACCATTCACTGCTGGAAAAAGAAGGAGATATCCTTTTCCAAACCCAGTCAGGGACCATAATGAAACAAAAGCCTTCAGATCCTTTCTGGGTTTGGGGTGAAAGTCTTTGCCCCCCGCTTTCTCCAAATAATTCTGCACATTGAACTTTGTTTTGCGGAATTTCGTGTTCTCCTGGAGGAGCAGATCACAGCTCACTCAGCTGGAGACACTAGTGACAGTTTCGGAGTAAGAAAGTGTGAGATACCGGCAGCCTTGCAAAGCAAGCAGCACCGTAGGGAACAGCTGTGCTCACTGACCGTGCTAGTTCTGGCCACTAGTGGTTTAAATAGAGAGGCTTGTGCGTGTATTTGACGTTGTCCTTCAGCAAAGGGTGTCCCACGGGCATGGGCTTTTTGCACCACTTCGGGCCCCTCTTCCAGATGGGCTTGGCCGACCGGACGGACCAGCGGGTCAGGTACCTGTCCAAACGACACAGACACACTTCAGGTTGAGACCCGTCGCTGAGAAGAGGTTCCGCCTGCCGCGGGAGCACTGCTGCAGCCCCTGCCTCCCCACGTGCCTCTCTCTAAAGGAATAACCGTGAGCAGAGCTCCCTAGCACCGCTGCAGCCCCTGCCTCCCCACGTGCCTCTTTCTAAAGGAATAACCGTGAGCAGAGCTCCTTCCGTTCAGAAGGGGCCGCTGGAAAGGAATTTTTGTGTTGGTTTGTGAGTCCTACGCTGCCCCTCTGCGCGGCACCCACCGTCACCTGCAGGACTTCCAGTCTCCCCAGACAAACCAGGTGAAGTCTCCCAGTCTCCAGGCTGCGAGCAAGCTGCCCGCCGCTGGCTGAACTGGAGGGCCAGATCCCTTCCCTGCAGCCAAGGCCAAGGCTGATGCATCCAGCCTCTGTGGGACGTGCCATTTCAACAGCTGGCCTCAGTAAGGGAAACTAATTACAAAGGCTAAACTCTGTGAGAAATAACGTCTCTAAAAAGGGATTAATTTCCTTTCGGTGGATAATCGGTTATTTCTTCTACATGGGATGGGTTCCTGGCCTAGTCTGGTATTTTTGTACGTCCAAATTTGCTTTAGCGTTCTCTGTACAATGCTATTGCAGCTTACTGGGGCAGGAAGTCCGAACCTACGGTGTAAGAGGTACCAGAATGGAATTATCATCACAACTACAAATCTCCGTGAAGAGCAACGTCTGGCAAATATCCTCTGCTTTTCACCATTTGAAGTTTTAGACTTGGCTTTGCAAACAGGCGGGGGATTTCAGATTCAAAATCAGTTACTGGAAATCTTACCCTGTGGCTGGGTGGCCTGGAGTTTTGTGAGGCTTTAAATCTTTTGCTACCAGTAGAGAAGGGAATAGAGGTCCTTAGAGAAAGAGGAGTCTTTTCAGACAATAAAGATCCAAAGTAAAACCCTAGCATAATCTGCACAAACAATGCTCCAACAAATTAGAATTTGGAACAGACTGATAAACTTTGTCCAGCGATGTTTGCATGCCTCTGTTGAGTAATCCCATGGTCTTAATGTAACCTCAATCAGTCATCCTCTCCCCAAACAGCTTTGTTACCTTCTATTTGCATCGGGCAAATTTGAGATATTAAGGACTTTGGACAGAGACCACGCAGCGCATTTGTCTGAAGGCATTTGGCACATTCCTGAGCAGGACAAAGCCAGCTCGCTATGCCAGGCAGCTACAGGCTCTGTGGCAGCAGCCCATTCTCCTGGCGCTCCTCTTCCTCAGCAATCCCAAACAGCGCAAATCGAAAGGTTAATCACATTGGAAGGTTCCTGCCACTGAAACGAAGCCACTTCCAAAACGCTTTGCTTTTGCTTCGAGGCGTTTGGGATAGCTAAAACGCCTGGAAGCAACAGCAGGAGGGATCTGGGAGATGGCACAGAGCAAGACCAAGCCACTTGTTCCCCTACGCGGGCATTAATTAGTCCCTTTTGACCTTCAACGTCACGCTAGTGCACGAGTGGAATCCCTTCCAGAACACCAGCGGGGCAGGGCGTAGGAGAGACGCTCCCGTCTCTGACTTCACTGCAAGGGGAGGTCAGAGGGACCAAAGGCAGGTCCCAGTTTGGAAAGGGGCACCGCAGCACGGCAAGGCAGCCCCTCTGGGAGCAGCTGTAGGGGCGCTGAGGCAGGCCCGTGGGGCTAGGGGTCTTCCTCCTCCTCCTCCTCCCCTGGCTGCCGCGCAAGGTGTGGTACGGCAAGGCTGCGCTTACAGCGAGGGAGGGGGGAAACCCCCCAAATCAAACGGCTGTACTGCAGCAGTGGGCCAAGCGCAGCGCCGGTCACGTGCCCGCAGGCTTACGGGAAAGTGCTCCCGTGATAATAAATGATCTCACTGGGACAGAAGGGAATGTGTGAATGCGAGATACACATCAATGCTGTGTGCAGGTTTAGACAGACAGTGGCTTTTTAAGAAATCCCTCTGTTTCTGTGTGGGGGCTGGAAGTGCACACCCCAATTCTGCATAGGAAGGAGGATTTAGTAATGGCCTGATTTTAAAGCTTTTGTTATTTCTCTTTTGAGCAGGTCTAATCCAGCCCTCTGGTCCAGGCTTTTGGCTTCCTTTGGGGACTGCAGGCTGGGGCTTTTCATTGTTAGCTGAAACAGACATTTGGACGCTTTCCCTTCCTGGAGCACATTTGCTTTTAGTGCTTTTAATACTTGCTTTGTCCCAAACTCAAACTTGTCCTATTTTGTTTGCTGCCTCTTTTATTTTATTTTTTTTTTTTTTTTTACCTTGATTCAGCAGCGGCAAAAGCCTGATGCCTGGGAGCAGTCAGCCTACAAACTTCCTTTTCCTCTTTGACTAACCCCAGTTCCTCCTGCTTCGCAGATTTATTTATTTTTTTTTTTCCCTGAGAGTACAAACGACCCACAAAACTCCCATATGAGAGCTTCAAAGCCCGGCACACAGGACTTCTCTGCAAACTCTGCTGTCCGTGGAAGGTAGCGTACTCCCTTTCCTAGCCAAGTCACCCAACCTTCCAGCACATCCAACCACACAGTTTGCCTTGGGGAGTTTTTTTTACAATAACCTACACACCCTGGCAGATGGTCTGAATTTTCTCAACCCGCTGAGGGTTGTGTCAGGGCAGAGCCTCCATGTGGATGCCACATGCAGCTGGTCCACAGTCTCCTAACCTGCCATCTCAGCACTCACTCTGGAAAAACGGGGGCAGAACTGCCAATCTTGGGAACCAGCAGCTCCCCTCGGAGCTTGGCTTGCCCCCTTGAGTATGGCAGGGGCCCCGGCAACAACCACAATCCCCAGACTCCAGCCGCACAAATGAGCAGTTTGGCTAAAGGGTGATGGGAATCCTGGTGGGATTTCCCTGATGGGAAAAGGCGAGAGATACAGCAGGATGGAAACAACCGTGGTCAGTCACCGGTGGTCAGTGCAATCGCTTAGAACCTCTGGGGCACGGAGAAGTCCCTTTCCACGGGTTTTACTCCGCGGGCAGGAGGGCCCCAAAGCCTTCCCCCTGCGAGGCTGACAACGCCTCGGACTAGGCGCAAGGCACAGGGCTGGCTAAGGGAAACGACCTACCCACGGGGCAACTGCAGCCCCGCACGCAGCCCAAGCGAAGGCCATGCTGGTGCAGCTCCAGACTGAACTTCTGAACCCTCGCTGAACTGTTCCAATCTGGCTTTTGTTTGGACTCAGAGCAGAAAGCAGAGGGCTACAGACTGCAGGAAGCACTCGATCAAAGTGCTGGCAAGAGCGCCTCCTCCCTGCCACGTCCCTTCCCACGACACCTCTTGGCTTTGCTCACCTGCGGCCACGCTGGCTCCTCGCTTTTGGACTCACGTGCTCTGCACAGCACAGTTTCCATGCAGAGGAGAGAAACCACATGCTGCTGGAGCGAAAGGCTGATAGCAGTGAAACCAGATTCTGCGCCCAGGGATGAGAGGGGTGTCCACAGAGCCCAAGAACTCTGTAATTCATGAGGAGTTCATAGGGAACCTGCCTCTTTCTTAACACACAGCGATTTCTTCAGTTCAGGTGATGGAGGAGGGATTGACTCGGATATTATCTGTGCCAAGTTCTGCTCTTCCAGTAGGAAGCTGAAAATGCAGTGGCAGCTGAGCACTCAAAATCAAGTACGCCGTAACCTACAGCACCTCTTGCTGACAGAGCCCAGACTCAGGGAACCTGTGACATCCCTTAGTCCTTCTGGAAAGGGAACAACTGCACAGTGTTGTGCTTTAACCAGTATCTTGGACCTGCCAGAAGGCAATGAGTGTTACATTCGCATTAAGAGAGCATCTAGATGCTGGCTTGAACTTGATGACTGTTCTGGATAGAGTGTTAGTCCACACTATCCAGGCGACAGCCTCCACACTGGGAAGAAAATTGCTGAGCTATTCAGGTTTCCATTCCTGAAAGCAAGGAGAGAAGTTTGACCTGCAGCTGTGCTTGACTGTTGCCCAAACGGTTCTGGTGTGTGGCGGCCTGCACACACACACAGGACTCTGGAGTGTGAGACCAGCCTGTCACTCTGCACACTGCTGGCGAAATCCCTGAGAGCTTCCTCGGCCTCATGGGTTGGTGCAAATATTTTGTTGCTGCAGCACTTAACTGGAACATGCCAGGCTGGAGCACAAACGGATGCAGAAATCACAGCAGGAAGTTATGAAAGGGAGAATTCAGGCTGAGGATGAAGGAACAATCCTTGGCTGCAGGACAAATTTGCTTGTGGAATCATCTCTTGGAAACAGTGAAAGCCCCAGACCGGGCCAAACCTGAGAAAATGAACTGTAGGGAGTAATTCTGCATTGACAGGGGTAAACTTCATTGGTTTGCCATGTCCAAGTTCTGCAGAAAAATGATAGGGAAGCGAGGGGGAGGACAGTAGACTCAAGAGTTTATGGATGATGTGGGTACTCCCATGGCCATATTTCTTCAAAAGCACACACAGCTAGTAAGGCAGTTAAGGGGTAACATTCGTGAGCTATCCCTGTCAAAGCCAAATCAGGCAGAAAGCAAAAAGGCAAAGAACTAAAGTCCCAAGAAATGAGAAATACCATGGTAAGTCTCACCTGGACAGCGACCCAGCTGCAGGGGGGGGAAGAGAGAGCTGCGGAGCACTCCCCAGTTGAATTCTGAGCGCAAGCTGTTCTCATACGTCTCCTACCACCCCCAGGACCACACAGCTTGGCTCAAACTGGCATTTCGGTTTCATCTCCTAAGGTCTTCTGCAGTTCCCCAGCTCCTCCTCTATGTTACATTAGATCCTGGATGGGTGATCTCACGCTGTGCTAGGCAGCTGGATGACCAAGAACAAGGTGGGATCTGCAGGCCACTACTTCCCAAAGCATTCTGCTCTTCCTCTTGCATTCCAGCAGCAGAAACAGGATCAGGAGATGGGGTGGGTGGCAGGCCAGTTGCCAAGTGACCCAGTGCAAAGCAGGGAAATTCCTACCTCTCTGCAGAGAAAACTGGGGCACGTAGGACGGAATGGCCAAAGTTTGTACAAGGGAAACAATAAAACCACTTCAGAAAACAGAGCAAGGGTTCTGCTTTTTGGAAAACATCGTCGAGTAAGCACCAGAAGAGCGCGTTCTGGAGGGGCAGAGCAGGCAGAGGGGTGCTGTATGACACATCTACACTGCACATCACTAGGTCAAGGCTAGGGTAGGACCCCTGACCCTTGTTAAGACAGTTTGATGATAGCTCCATGTGGTGGCACGACACATTTTAATCTCAGCTAGGTGATAGCCAATGCATGCCAGACACTGTGTATTTGAAGCAGGCTCACTTTAAACGGGGTGACCGTGACATGGGCCAAACATTCTGGCCAAGACAGCCACCAAGTGCAGCCAAGGAAAAGCTGAGGGGCAGCTTTTCTGGTGCTCTCAAAAGTAGACATTAGCACAGCTCCTCAGCCCTTCTTTACGTACTTCCTTAGCACTTTGCCCACGAGCCATAGGGTTCCTCCCACGGAGCTGGCCTGTACATTGCCTCAGGGGCAAAGACCAGAGCAAAGCAGTTTTTCATCAGGCTGGTTTGTCCCTCTTTTGGCAGCAGATGAAGCTGCTCTCAGAAATACTGACATAACCTTGGAAGAAGCCTGGCCAAAGGGAGCACGAACCAGAACTTTGCAAGACCAGAGAGAAACGAAAGGGATTGCTCATCCAAATGAAGTCATCTGCCAGACTTCGGCCAGGCAGGGGTTGCTGCTCTGAGTCTACACAACATCCACACTCTACATGCAGTAAGTGGATGCTCAGGTCTGTATTATGGTAGAGGTGCTGGGCTCTGATTCCCGCTTCAAGTCACACTCCCCACAGTGAATCTCCTTCAATCTCAGGCGGGGTGAGTGGAATCAGCCCCTAAGGTTACCTGAGGCTTTCATCCTGGTCCTGTCACTCTAGCAGCTGATGGTGCAGCCTAATGCCAAGAGCTCCACCATCAGCAAAACATTCTTCAGCTCAGTGTAAGACGTCCCCAGATGGTAAGAATTCTCACAGAAGTACATGGGGTAACATCTGGAGTAGACAGTGACTTCTCAGAAGTCCCTTCTTTAAAAAAGTGAAAGATGTCTCAATTCAGAGCGAAGAGTTGGACAACAGATTGCTTACAGGGGGGCGATGAGAGGAATTTCAGGACAGAAGGGGTGAGCACACCAAAGTACAGATGAGACTCTGAGAGAAACGCTGTCCTTTTTCAAAGCTTAGTGTCACAGTCATGAGACAGCCTATAGGCCTCTACAGCGCTTTTCACCTTTCCACCTTGCACCTTCCTATTTTAGATCGGTATAGCAGGAACTGTCTCTCCTGTAGGCAAAGCTTTCTTCCGTGTGCAATGCAAGCTCCTGATGGCAAGAGAGTAAGTGCAGATGAGTAAGGGGGAGAGGCAGCAGGAACGGAGGCCACGTGATAGTGAATGGACTAAATTCTCCGTACAGTGCATACTATTAGCCACCCGCGAGCGCGAGCCACCTCCGCTTGCAGCCCTGCCTCCACCTCTGTTCGCTGGCTTGCTGCTGCGTGACTACTCCTTTTGAGCAAAGAGGACCACGCTCCTGCAGAGCCAAGCAAGTGACACCTCGTGCCCAGCAATGGTGTGCCAGGAGCTCTGGTTCCTTCACAGGTCAGGTCAAAGGTCCCTCAGGCAGCTGGTGGCAATTCAATAGCTCCAGCATCTACAACGTGGGCGCTTCGGTCTGCTTCTGAAAGGTGGCCGGTGAGGATTATTTCGGAGGGGGTGCGGTGCAGAAGAGCGTATTTCAATACCACACTCAGAGCAGACCCACTGGTGGAGCAAGGAAAAAGCCATCACTGTAGGCAGAGCTGGAGAGCACAAGGGCTGGTTAAATTGGTGTTTTACCTGTGCTCCTGCCTTGGAAGGGCTTTAACAAGGGGCCCAAGCATATTATGAGGCACCTCAGTTTCTCCCCGATGGCATTCCCAGGGGTGCAGCAGCAGTACAAAAAGGCACTATCACCTCTTATTTAAGCAGAGAGGCAAAGATGACCAGAGCACCCCAGTGATCTCTAGAAAAGCTGAGGCCCAAGAATTTGGAAAATAGATCACTTAACTGTGCAATGTACTGTCTGCTATAATAGGCTCCCTGTAGATCCCGCTGATCCCTTCCTGGACAGGCACTTAAAAACCCAGCAGACAAAAATGCAGTGAAGGGACAAGCTAAGTTAGGTGTGCAGCCCCAATGTCACACCAGACGGGACTAGAGGATGACCCGATCACGTTCTCATGGCATTGAACAAAGCAGCTTGTTCCACTCAGAAGCGCCAGCCCAATCCTGCCCCTGTCCTCCCTTGTCAGCTCACTGGCGTTTGGCTGCACCATGGGCTGAGTGCTTCCCAGATGACTAGAGACTACAGAAAGCTTTAGGAACAAGCACAGAGGCAAAGACAAGGTAAGGTGGGACAAGCCATTTATGTGGGAAACTTCTGAGAAGAGCTTTGGCTTCATCCCCAAAATAAGTACTGGTTGAATGTCTTCAGCCTGTGGGCGCCCTTCAGTCCTCCCTTTAGACTACGGGAAGGAAGCAATTTGTATCTCCTGCCCTACGTGGTGCCAGCTGCTGTTCCAGAGAGCGAGGCGGGAAGCGCAGGCAGGGGAACGCACAGTCAACGCTCTCCAGAACCACAATGGCCAAGATTTTGCCAGGCTCCAACATGGTGAGCTTTCCCCTTCCAGCAGGCTGAGAAGACAGTAAGATGAAGGACCAGGAGAGCACTCTTGGAGTACCCCTGTGCTCTATCCTGGCTCTGGGACTCATTTCTTTAGTCCCAGCCCCACCATCAAGCCTTTAAATAGATTTCTTGATCCCATTCTCTTGTCTCCACCCAGACCCCAAAGCCTGCCTCTTTCAAGGCTGTTCCATCTCCTCAGCAACAGCTCTGCTCTCTTCTCCTAAACTCTGCTTCCACCCTGATCCCTCGCTGGGAGGAGGAAAACAAGGGCGGTGCAGGGCGGGAGTAGCAATGCCATAGGGAGGGCCTGGACACTGAGCTCCAGTTTAAATCTGTTCACTTTAGAGGTGCAGCACACCTACTTGCATGTAGAACATACCCGGAGGTACCCCTTCTTTGTTCTCACTAAAGGTCTGTGGAACAATTTATACGAGCCAAGGCACCAGATCTGGAGCCCTGGTGTGACTTCAGCAAGATCCAGGCGGTATCATTTCCTGCCCCAACCTGCCACGCCGGGCTGCTACGGGAATGCTAACCAGACACCGGGCTCCACCCCACAGCTGCTACATCCACACGGCTCCTGACAATCCCAAAGACTTGTAAGACACAGGAAAGACCAAGTTTTCAGAGTTGAAGTCTCGGATGGCTACAGGGCTGCACCAAATACAGAGTCCTCTAATTTGATCCCCACCGATACCCAGTACACAGCCTCCCAACATCCACGGGACATTTCCAAGGGCTTGCCTCAGATCTCCACTGCAGAGAGTCAGACCTGAAACGCAGGAGTCTCCAGCCATGCCCAGCCCTGCAGCCTAAGCTCTCCCAGCAACAGCCCCATGGCCTCTGGTAACCCCAGGGCTTGCTAATGCGAGGTTCATAAACCGTTCTGACATCCCCATGGAAACGGAGCGCAGGGTCATAAACAGGGGATTAGCACCTCCGAGGGCCCGAGGCAGCGCAGGAGATGGCCGCAGGCTTTCCCCTCGCCCGCCAAAGGCCAGGGGCCGTCCAGTCTAGGGAGGGGGAAGAGACCCTGTTGCATCAGAAGGGCAGGCAGAGTGTGAATCGCTGACTGGGGGAAATGGAGATGGGACAGAGGGGAACAGGCTTGTGATGTGCCCCTGCGGGCTGCTCAGCCCCCCACTCACTGCTGGTACCCCTCTCCTAGGCACCCTCCTGCTGTTGGGGGCCAGGCACCAAAAGGCTGAGAGAGAAGGGACTGCTCAGCCTGCAGACAAAAAGGCTCAGGGTGGTCTGACCAATGCTGACGAACACCTGAAGGGAGGGCGTCAAGAAGGCAGAGCCAGGCTCTTCGCGGTGGTGCCCAGTGACAGGACATGAGGCAACGGGCCCAAACGGAAACAACAAGAAATTCTGTCTGAACTGAAGAAAACACCGTCTCGCTGTGAGGGCGGCTCTCTGGAACACGCCGCCCAGAGAAACTGTGGCAGGTCCAACGTCGGAGCTACTGGAAACCTGACTGGACACAGCCCTGGGTAACCTGTGCTACGTGACCCTGCCTGAGCTTGGACGAGATGATCTCCAGAGGCCCCCTCCAACCTCAACTACTCTGTGATGCTGCGTCTCCATCTCTGTGGCATCCCCCTGTGACCGCCCTACTGAGCGTTAGGGATGAGGCGGCCAGGGCAGCTGAGGCAGGGCGGGCAGACTCTTACGCGTGCGGCAGTTAATGGGTAAACAGTTTGAACGAGATGTGGTTTGTCCTTAAAAGACTGGCAAGACAATATCGTGACAGACCTTCCTTCTCCAAAATGCTATGAGGACTCTTTAGAAGCACTGTTGCCCAAGGCATGTTTTACCCAGTTATAAGGAACTGCTTTTCCTCTTCCAATCTATTCTCGAGAAAAAAAAAAAAAGATGTGGAAAGACAAGACTACTCACCTGTTGAGCTGGGGTTTCTTGGGAATATGCCCTTCAGGAAGCGGAGGCCTGTGGTTTGGCAACAAACCTGAAACAGAAGAAGAAAGGCGTGAGAATATCTTGCAGGGCCTCGTTGCCTCTACAGCATCCAGCAGTTCCACTGCCCCCTGTAAGCCAGGCGACCCCGGTCCCTGTTGGGGTAGCACAGCAAGCACTCAAGTACCGCAGAAAGGGCATTTTGTCTTAGTCCGTGCTGAACCTGCACCCCAGCCAAAGAGCAGCCAGGAGGTTCTGCTGGGTACGGAGAGGAAACACACAGCAAAGACACAGCCCTTGGGCTCATCCAAGAGGCTTTTTGGTAGGACACAGGGCACTGGCGTCCAGTCAGATTCCATCTCCAAGGCGAAAATCTGACTATTAAAATTCTCAGCCCATTTAACTTGGATACAGCTTGGGATGCTTGGGTCCCAGGCATAAAGACCAGCACAACACTCCAACTGTGTCAGCCTGGGTAAAGCAAACACGTCTTCACGTGGCAGCCGGGTGCATGTTATCAATGGGGTAGGTCCAACTTAGGCTGAATCAAGTCATTTCAGAAGCTGGTATTTAATCATTGGGTACTAGAGACTGAGCCACTCCCCAGATCTTTCTGCAACAGGAGTCTCAACTACAGGGATAAACGTCTGCTGCCGAGGCAGGAGCCAAGACACGCAGCGGAACAAGTAGTCCCTGGTCCATCATCCTGTCCCAGCACTTGGAGCATGATGAGTTTTCCGGGTGACTGAACAATGACATCTCACTGCGCTATACTAATGGGGCGGGAGACCCCTCTCAAGGGGTTCTGTGGGTACCCCACAGCACGGGGTCGCCTCAGGAGGAGGTCAGGTACCTGCCCGGTGAGCCATCTGCACGCAGACGGCAATCTTCTTGTGCTCCTCCAGACAGAGGCCTGTGATCCGCCGTGGCAGCATCCCTCCATCCGAACGGATAAACTGGCTCAGCAGCAGGACATCCTGCGGGAGCAAGAGCAGGGCAGACCCATCAGTGCCGCAGCTACGCTGATTGCTGCGATGGTTCTTGGGCGGTGTGCTGACCCCCGCGCTGTGGGCAGCACCCAAACCAAAGCAGAGCAAAGCAACGGTTCCTTTCCACGCGCTTCGGCCGCAGCTCGACAGCAAGTGGCTTTTGCTTGCCGTCACTCCGCCTGCCAGCTTAGCTCAGTAAGGTCACTCAGATGGTCTCAGTCTTCCCCTGACTTCACCAGTGTAAACACATGATGTCAGCTGCAGTCCCTGCTACTTCACTGTCGCTTGCTCCAAGATTCTAGCTAAGATAATGCGTCCTAGGTACTCAGGCGCAGTTACACAAGACCTACAGATGGACAGTGTTTACACAACTTGAAATGCCATCACAGCCGCTATCCTAAAGGTCACAGATATGTTAGATCACCTCTGGCCCCCTCCCTGTTCCCTCAGAGCAGGACTGTTCTCTGCTATCTACTCCTCAAACTTTTATCCAGTTTCCCATGGCGGAACTTCCCTCATGTCTCTCTGGAGGGGTGGAGAGCAGGGAAATGGTCCAAGAGGCTTTTTGTAAGACAAGAACGTGTGCTGACGGGAAAGACCTAGCCGGATAAATTGCTGCCTTCAGTCCTTCACCGCCGCGCGCGTGAGGTGGGGCTGTTACAGCCGTGCTGGGTGGAAGGAGCGCTCGGAGCACGCCGAGGGTTCATCTCTGACTCAGGAATCATTTCGATTACACTGCTGTTGACCTTTCTGATTAAGAGCTCTAGAAATGTAAAGCACTCCTGATAAGAACAAAATTAAAGGGCTCTCTAGGATCAGATAGTATCGCAGGGCTGGGACGGCAAGTTTTCAAACAGAGCAGCGACAGCTGTTGCACGGGTGTCCCGTTAACTGCACCCAGCACGACAGGGCAGCGTCTGGATACGCGCTCTCCGTTTCCAGACACGGCACCCCTGCAAACGTACCCCTCAGGCCAGCACAGACAGGCCCCCTTGACGTGCTGACGTCAGCCGGAGTTGGCCCAAAGGGCGTCTGGAGACTCTGGGCTTGTTTCTTCCCCCCTTGTTGACAGACTTGTGGTGACTTTACTTCCCCACTGCTGTTGTCAACGTGTTCACAGTCGAGGTAGCTGGGCCGTGGGGAGGCTGCCTGCAAGCTGAAGGGGCCTGCCAGCGAGCACCCCGGCAGAAGGAGGATTCAGAGCAGGTACATCAGCTCTTTGCACACCCTCGGCTGGGGCAACAGGCAAGAACAAAGAGCACTTGTTGCTTTTCACATCGGGTGACCCTGACTCTGCCTGTTGTTCACAGATCCGCAGACTCGCCCCCCCCCGCTATTTTTGCTCTTTTACTCCCTGGAGCGTTCCTAGCGTCATTTACTGCCCTTGCAAAAGCAAACAAAGACAAGGGGATATAAAAGGAATAGTCAGAAAACCTGGCTACCTAGGAATTATACCTCCACACTCGCTGCACAAGACCAGCTCAGCTCTGAAGGGGGCTGCTGGAATTCAGCATGACTTTCTGGTAATGACCAGTTCTGACAGATGCAGTCGTACGAGTAGGACAGTCAAAATTTAGAGGGTTTTTTTGTTTGGTTTGGGTTTTTCTGGTCTGTTTTTGTCCTGCCCCCTCCATGCCTTCAATCCCACCCTCTAATATCATCATGACACACAATTTCCCTCTTCCCTTATCTGGCTTCCTTTCTGCCTCCACTTGTCCGCAATGAATGTGTGCAGACTCATTTTCAGCTCCTTTGAAAACGCAGCAGGTTAGGCAACTTTCTCACTGATATAAAATGACTTACCAACCACCACACAGCGATGTCGTATCCAGAAAACACAAAAAGCACAGCTGAGCAACTAGCAGCAAGTTCCTGAGAGGCCATCTATGGTTAAAACGGAAGCCAAGTGTCCTCAACCCAGCCAACACATGGCCTTGCCAACGAGAACGGCAACCAGGGGACCAGCTGGTGCCAGCTGCGTTGGTGGAAATGGGCTAGAGGCCAGCCAAACAGTCCAAGGGCACTGACTTTTGGCCACTCCTGAAGTGCACTTGCAGTGAACCAGAGCAAGACTCCAGCCCCTTTTTCCCCCCCTCCCTCTTCTTTAGCCATCCAGTTCGCCAAATCACCAAGGGCTCAATCTGCCATTTAGCACGAAGGGATCACTGCCCGGAGTCAAAACGGGCTGTTCAGCTCCAAGCGCCTAGAAAGAGAAAAACTTTCTAGACTCTTCTACTCGCTTGCTGCGTTCTCTGTGGGGAAGAGGGAAAAGGGAGCTGATGGCAAGTTTGAGGCTGTTCCAGTCTCTGCAGCCGTGGAAGCCTAAGCAGGCCTCTTGTGAAGGGTGTGTGTGGTCCAAGCGGTTTCTCGTATTACCACCACGCCTCGTGGAGTCACAGGGTTGCTATCAAGTGCGTCCAAGCAAAGGGGGGAGGTGGGAAGCAGTGGGAGATCGTCTGTCTTTGTCTCCTTGCGGACAAACCCCAGGAAAATCCGTTCTCTATCACTCTCTCTGACCAACGGCGTCACCCCGTGACCAACACCCTCGTGCGGCAGTCACTTCTGAACCGAAACAGCCTACGGCCCTGCCGCCGCAGCTCCGCATCACACTCACGCCGTTTGGCTTAACGTGCTGCAGGCTGGACAGCAGGTTTGTCCATTGCTGAAGATCTCCCCCCCGGGAAGAGGTCGGGTACCTCTCCCAGAGCACTCGCACAGATGTCTCTCACCGCAGGGAGAAGGCCGACAGGTACAGCCAACTTTACGGGGCAGCTGCGGAGGGAAGCGGACAAGCATGTGGAGTGGTCAAAGAAAAAAAAAAAAATGTCTGGCAAGTTCTCGTGGTGCCGTCATGTTCCATGAAACTCATGTTTTGTGCTAGTGGACAGCCAAGCCTGTAACCACGGATTTGCTTTAATCACTGGACAGCTCCCATGAGGCTGGACCCAGATTCCCACCCCTGTACTCCGCAGCATTTCATGAAAACAACTTGGATTGAATTAATCTAGGGCTAATAGGCAAATCTTGCCGTTTGGTTTCCCCTCATTGCTGCCAAAGCAAGATGACATATTTACTGCCTACTCAGACTAATGATGTTTGAAGTGGATAAGGGGGAAAACGAAAAACAAGTTTAGCCTTCACCTCTAAAAGGGCTGGATACACTTGCTAAATGAAACACTATGTACAGCGTGTTCTTGTGAATGGATGGCAACCAAAATGCAGAGGCATCTGCAGTTTAATATCCGCAGACGCTCTGAGAAGCAGGACCCTTGACTGCTTACGTGCAATTCACTAAAACCTTCATGTGCCACAAGAAGAGTTCTGCCTGTACAGCCAAATGACTACTGGACTGTATCAGACGAGTCTGCCAGTCGTTATTTCCAGGTATACAAAAGTCTGGTTGTTCCTTTCCCCCTTCGCCCTGGGAGCTGAGCACCATCCTCCAGGCATTTTCTAAGAGGATTGCAATCCAGTGGCGTCCTGACAACGACCAAAATAACTTTACCTCCAATGGACATGAAAAAAACCAACCGAGGCCTCCGTTTCAACGGACAGACACAGGCAGACCACAAACTGGGAATTTCTACCTCAGCCCCCGTTACCCTGAGCCTCAGCGTAGACGAAGGGCTGACCTGGCAGAGACAACCGCAGCCCTCCACGCCACAGCTGAGGCAGGCTGGAATCAGGACCTGCTGGCGCTCACAATGCCCGTTCAGTTGATTAATAACTCTGGAGACATTGGTCCCCCAGTTCTCTGACAGCCAAAGTAACTCATTATGCCACTACTTTAGACTGTGCTAGTCGCACATGACAAAAGGAAAGTCCTATGAGGTCATATTACTCAGCTCCCTCAGGGGCTAATTCAACACTTCCCTTTTCATAGTGCCTCATTCAGGCCAATTACAAGCGTCCCAAGCAAAAAAAGCTCAGCCTTTCCCTTCTGTGCAACCGACTGAGCTCAGCTTATCAATCTCAAAGAAACCCCTGTGAGCCATCTATTCTGCTCTCTTACCAAGCACAGATTACAGGTTATGCTGTATGAACTAGGCTGTATCTTTAACAAAAATAGCTGTTCTCAATTTACAGACTTTTAGGACAATTAACCACCAGTGAGCAAATTGTGCCACTGTTTAATTACCCACACGGCTAAATGCCTGCGCTTTATTATTGAAGCATTTCAAGATTCCGCTGCTCATCACTGCTGCAGCAAAGAAAAACAGCAGAGAGCACTTTTGTGCAGAAAAGGGAGATTTTTATTCATGTTAACATTTAAAAGCCTGAAAATCCATGACTGGTACAAAGCATTCAAGCATGTAAGGGACTTATTCAAGCAGAAGAGGTGGTCTGCTCCAGAACAGAAATCTCTCCTAGTTCTCATCAGCCCCACAGAGGAAGGCTTCTAAATACTGAGGTGAGACACGTCTGCAGCTCTGAAACGGCAGCTCACAGGGCCTGCTTTAGCTTTTTGCCCAGGTTCCCCTCTGCTCTGTGCCAGGAGCACTGGGTACACACACACATCAGATGCAGACGCATTCAGAGACAAGGTGACAGCCAGGACGGACACGTTCCTCGTTTGTCTCTCAGGACCACGATTTCTTAGGCACAATCTCAGCAACGATTCGCAAGACTCTGGCTGCGGGATCTCTCCTCACATTTGGTTTTCTCTTGCCTCCATACCGAACACCAGAAATCAGGAGCTAAGGATCAAACTGAACTGAAGTGTGGAAGAAAACTCGTAATCTTAGTTCACTCTGCAAACACACCTAAGACTCGTGCTCTACGCCGTCTGTCGGGACCACCAGCCTACTTCTAACCCTGGAACTCGGGCTCTACAGCACCACACTGCCTAAAACTGCTTCGTTGGCTCTTGATAGCACTGTTACCTCCACGTCCAACAGTCTTTACCACAGACAACAGTAGAAAGTGAGTCTACATATGAATTTCCAAGATCTAACCCGCTTCCGTGGCTCATTTCATCCCTGAGCATCAGTTTACAGATTCTCTGGAGCTGTTAACGGGCGACTCACGGAATGCCTTCTGGAAATCTGTAGAACCACCCAGTTTAATGATGCTGTTGACTCCTCACATTTAAAAGTCACATAAAACTGTATTAACCTTAATAAAGTATTTCCCAGCGTAAGCGGCCGGTCTGTTTTGACCACAACACAATTCAGCAACCCCAAAGAAGAAAAGAGTTACAAGAAATCGCTACATTCAAACACGGGCAACACGCACAAAAAAAATGTGACCTGGTTTTGCAGCACTTTCCATACCTTAATGCTATTTGCTGCTTCTCCTAGTTTGTTATCATCTGCAAATTCACTGTATTTTTAGCTTTCCCAGAGCGTTGGGAAACCAGAGACCACTAAATACTCCCCCCCCCCGGCTTATTTCACTGTTCAATATTGCACCCAGCCGGAGTCAGAATCCCTGCCAACACTCAGATCCTAGATAACTTGATTTCTGCAACACAGGCATTGAAAGATACGAAACTGCTATTTCATTTACATCTCACTTCTGTTGTTTCACCTGCCTGGTGTAATTGCAAGTATTTCCTCTGGCACTATTTCTGTATTCACCTTCTTCATAATTCGTGAGGCATAATTAGTCCTATGCAACAGGTTATTTGGTTTTACTCCTAGTTGACACCATTTTACCTGGAATTTGCAACGTTTGATTTATCAAGCGGTAATCATCAGCATAATTCTCCTTCCTCTCCCAACTACTCAGTATTTCACCTGCTATTTTCAAATCATTTGGTGATGCCTTAGGATTTTCTTTCACGCTTTAAAAAAATTCTGCAAGTGAAGTAACACATTTGTTAGTTAATTCCCTTAAGATCCTGGGGCTACATGCAATCCAGGCCTGCTGGTCTGTACTTATTGAATGCTGAAGTTGTATCTGTTTTTTCCTGTTGTTTTACAAGATTGCCGTTACTACCTAGATATCAAACCACAATTTTTCTTTTGCGTGTGTGTGCTAGAACTGCACGTGAGCAGCTTAGTCATTCTGCAGCCAGCGTGGCTTTCAGTCCCCTTCTCCCCTCATTAATGGACTTTCTTTCTCACAAAGATTTATTTTCCTCCAGATGTATTTGTATCTCTCTTGCCCTAATCCTATTGACATTAACTTACTCTGGGTTTTCTGTTGCCTTATCTTGGTAACAGCAAGTTCCTGTCTGGTTTTCTTCTTTTCTAAGTCAAGTGCTGGATTTTCAGCTTGCAAGGGGGCGCTTAGTCCTTTTGTAAACTCTCTGAGTAACCTCTTGTACAGTGACATTCCGCATCTTCTATCTCATGCTGCTGCTTCTAAAGTGTTCTTGACTGTTGGGCTTTTGTTTTAAAGCATTACAGGATCTCCCTGCCATCTTCTACATTTAGTGTTAGTAATCCTCTCATTAGTGAATAAACTTCCCATTAGCATTTCCCGCAAAAAGCCTGAATCAAACCTATTTTTTCTGTTGCAAGGGATGTACACGCACATGCTCTCCTTCATACCCATCAAGAGTTTTTAGAAGTTATTTAAAACAGTTATTGCCTTAGTGGGCAATGACCCAACAAGAAATTGTGGCGTTTGAAGACACGTAGTTGATCTAGTCAAGTCTTTCGGCCTCTCTGGAGTTAGAAGAGGCCTGAATCACTTGCCTGAATGTTGCATTCCAGTTCGATTCTCCTGGAAGTGCAATGCTGAAGGCCAGCTGGGCACAAACGAGGCAGAGGGCCTTCTCAGATCGGACGGCCACACGCATCACTCCAAACCTCCTGTCTGACACGAGCTCATCCTCCTTCCTCCCAGGAAGGCCACCAGCCGAGGCAAACCACTACTACGGGGGAAGCTCTCGTTACACCCAAGAGAAGCAGCGATGGAGTTGAAGCACAGCAAAAGACGAGAGGGGCAGACGGTGCAGGGTGCAGATCTGACAGCAGTATTCACCTAGCGCTGAGGACAGGGGAGCTCTCCTTCGTTAAACTTACCACATAATCATACTTATGCTTCAGGTTCCAGCGGCAGATGGGACACTGGCCGGAGGGGTTTGGAGGAGTTGGTGTTTCAGCATCCTCTATAATTCTCCCTTCAATCTAGGAAACAATTCAAAGGACACAACGATCAGGTGTGGTGTAGAGCTCTACCCGCACCCGGGACTTCTCCTCAGCTCTACACCACGTCGACCAGTATCGCACAGACGCAAGGGGAACAGCATCTGCATCACCCGACTCGCTTACACGTAGATACACCGAGCTCCCTGGATACACAGAGACTACAGGGAAAAGAACAAATCCAAGGGCACAGAGAACCATTTGGTAAATCCTTGTGGATGTTTCACTCAACGTACACCAGCCCACAGTCAGCGGGAAGTTCTCGTTTGCGCCTGAATTCGATTTACTGCAGTACGCCTTTGAACTACCGCGCCTTGAAATTGTAATGCCCCTTTTGTCAAAAGCTTTAAACCACATTTTTTCTGGGAATATGAGAATGTCACAGAACAGCAAATGCACGTTGTGGATGAAAACATGCAGGGGCTTGCTAGATTATAAACCACCAACAGGGAAAATTCTGAGCAAGATTTTTTTTTTTTTTAAAGTACACCAATATTTTATTTTATCCAGTTTAATTCTGAAACAATTCCTTTAGGAGATCATTTTATAATCTTTTCTATGTCACTACAAAGTGGTGACATGCAACACTCAAGTTTCCTCAGAAGAAACATGCAAAAAGATGTAGAAGGTGTGTGTGGGAAGACCTTGAGAAATTTATTTTCTAAATGTAGGTATTTTAGGAGTATGAAGCCTATCTCCATGTGCGCTTGTCTCTTTTTGAGGACTTACGAATAGAAGCAAGAGCAATCTCAAATTACAGCTGAACGGACAGAAGAGACAATAAAACTAAGCCATTTTTTTTCCTCCAAAATATTTTGGAAGTTTCCTCTGGTCAAATAAAGATTAAAACCAGATTTTGAACACCAGCTGACAGCATCAGATAGTGCAAGCACCAGAGAGTTTAAAAAAGAAGGCCTGGGGGGAATGCAGTGTTCCTTTTAAGAAAAAAAAAAAGCTGATGATTTAGACTGAACCATCAGGTTCTGTGCCTGAAAACCTGGGAAAAGCAAGACATTTTCTGTAAGTGTGCATGGGAAACGGGCAGCCAGCTGAACTGTCAGAACTATTTTATTCCATGGATTTGTGTCTTCCTTATCTAGGGATGGCAAAATGGAAACAGATAAGTTATTTATAGTTCAAGCATCGCAGTACCTCAAAGAGAGAGAATATTGTAAATTTTTCAGTAAGATTCCTCCCCCCCCAAAGTAGAACAGCCAGTTTCACAAAAACAAAGTAACTATGAATATAAAAATATAGTCCAGGATCTAGTTTTCTATTCATTGGTGAAGTTATTTTCTGGGAAGCTGGTGTATCTGGTCTTGATTCCTGCCTGGCTGGCTTCAGACTGTACTCTGACTGTAATTCCATCTTGGAAACGAATAAAGATTCAGAATGTTATGTCAATATAAATTTTTCTTGGGACGAACTTCAGTGTAGGGTTTTTGGCAATTATTCCCCAACTACTGAGGATTTCCATATTGTTAACCCACTCTGTTGTTACTCTTCTGTCAGAGAATTAAAAGAGAAAAGGGGCTCTACATGCTCAGTATGCTGATGAAATCCAGATTTCTCTGGGATTCCTTCATCTGGTTTCCTTCAACACTGATAAAAGCAAGGGCACATAGAAATGTGAGCACGGAAGGATGGATTCAGAAGAGACTGATGCAGTTTGTAGGATAAACGGAGTGACCAGAGGATATGCTGAGAAATGGTCAGCCCTTTGGTTGGTCAAGTTACACTATTTGTTACAGGACTTCCCTCACCTGGGGGCACTGACGGAGCCTAGGTGGGTGCTAGGATATCCTACAGCAGAAATATCCCAATCTCCCTGCTGCTTCTACCACGGGCCAGGAGGAATTACTTTTCTAAAGGGCTCTGGTACTGCAGTGCCTACTTTTTTTTTTCTACTTCAGGCCTCAGTTAACGCATCGGGGCTCTGTGATTATGGTTTACATGGCCTTTGCAACCGGCCGAGTGCCAAGGACAGCAATCCTTGTGCTGGGTGTTGTGTTGGTGCGCACACTGCGCCCCGTTTTGGTTAAAGCCACTTCAGGGCATGCTCGCAAGCTCTTCTCTTCTGGTCTCTGGGCAAAGACTAGTAGCCTGGCACTTGAAGAAAAGACAGAGAGATTTTCCATCACACCTACTGTCACATCTTAAACTTATTTTTACGGACACTCTTAGAGATCTTGCTAACTGCCACATCTGTTTGATATTTTAGATCTAAAATATAAGTAACCTGCTCCGCTCAGCTTTCAAACATGATGATGTCTGCTAATACACACACAACAAGAAGGAAACTCACACTTCCGAAGGCAAAACCAAACAGGTTTTGTCTGTTTCATTAGCAAGCAAAGAAGCCTGTCCCCTCCTGATTATTCCTGTACGTACAGATTAGCATTTAGGCGCGCTGCCTTCCAGCTACTCCCAACGAAACCCTTCTCCGCTCTCCTCATCACATGTACACCTTTCCAAACATCTGCGCTACCTGTTTCCAGCCAAGGCACAGTTTGCTACTGGCCTACGTAACGTGAGAGCAACACAACGTCCTCCCGCCAGTAACTTCTGTGCTGCTTCTAAAAATTGACAATTCTCTTCATAAAGTGCCACAGATCAGATGGCGTTAACTAAGTAAAACCCTAGTCCTACTGCTTCGGCCTTTTTTTTTCTGTCTTAAACCGTAGCTGAGAAAATGCTCCTCTTTATCAGCTACCTCAGAACTTCTGTTTTATTTTCAGTTTTCCTTTAGTGTTTAACGCCTTCCTTTGACAACCGCCCTTTCACTGACAACGTTTTCTCACCAAGTGTGCTACAAGACGCCAGCTCTGTCTCACCTGCAGCCACCACGGCACGCACAGCGATCAACAAACACGACCCAGACCAAAGGCGAGCGACACGCGTGGCACGCAGCCGCCACAGAGCCGTCCTGCCACGCCACACTGCGCGGCTGGCCCAGGGTGCAGCGACAAAGCCCCGGGCAAACCCTGCCCGCACTCGAGGGGATGCCAAGCATCACTCCTTCAAGAGACAAACCCCCCTGAAGAACCGCCTCTGGTGTTTCGGGTGCCAAACGCCCCCGGTCGGGGCGTCCAGCCTCACCAGGGGTGCAGCGAGGGGTCTGGAGCTCACGGGTGGCTCTGACGGGATCCACCCGTCACCAGCAACGGGGTGACAACCCCCACGCTCGGCACCCAAACCCTCCACGGCCTAACGGCGCTGGCAGCACGCGCCCACCCGGGCTTGGCCTTCACACCCTGAGACGTCTTTCGGGCGGAAAAGGGAACCTTTGGCCTTTTTTTTTTAATTTATTTTTTTTTAGTTTTTACACAATCGCACAGACACACACACGCGCATGCGCGCGCACACACAGACACACGTGCACAGACACTCACACACCCTCTCACACA